TAGTGCCAAGTACATAGTAAATGTTAAATATTTGTGGGTTAAAAAAATTTATTTGAAAACTCCTCAGATGGAAATAAATGGTAAACTATTTATCATTTTGTTATAAAAATGTGGGAAAAAATTTGGTTTTTATATTGATGGACATCTTTTGTTTTCAGATTGGCAGTAGAAGTAGTGTTTATTCTCCAGAAAGCAATGTACGAAAAACAGGCTCATATATATATGAAGAGTTTATGCCCACGGATGGTACTGATGTTAAGGTAGGATTGATTACAGTGGAATTTAATTTTATATTTCAAGTTTATCAGTGATCTCAGGAAAAGTGGTAATCCTTTAACTAGCTATATCTAACCTTTATTCTGGATCTTTCTTTTTTTTGATTAGGGATTCCTAATGTTTTCTCCCATGAACACCTTCGGCAGTCTGAAGCCTATGGACCCTTTTTTAAGAATAATGTTCTTAGATACCCAAAATAAAACACACATGATTATGAGGGAGGCAAATTTTATTGAAGTACAGTTATCAAAATATTTTAAAACCAACTTTGTCGTAAACATATCTATGTCTTTAAAAGGACATTAAATAATAAAATATCATGGATAAGGGCCACCACGGTTTCCAGGCAGTGATTAGCATAAATGATGTTTTGAGATCTGTGGCAACAGTGATGTGATATAAAAATGTGATTTCACTTGGTGACAAATAAGGTTCTTAATTACTTTACTTTCAGCCAGTCTCTTTGTAACCAGAGTGTTCTTCCTAAAGTATAAATCTAATCATGAATCTATTCTTAAAAATTCCCTAGTGAATGTTTATTGACCACAGGATAATAACCAGATTCATAAGCCTGATACACATCCTAGTATACCTCACAATACTCAGTATAATAGTTTTCTATAGAGAATGAAACGTCATTTTACTAGTTTTGTCATGTAATTAATTATAACTTTTCCCGATGAATTGAAACTTCTGATATGTAAATACAAAGATGTGCCTTTCTAATCGTCTAGAGTCTGAACTATTTTTTTATTTTGTTA